TGTCCGACACACAATTATCCACACTTCAAACCTTTCAAAAGCAATAGGTCTTAAAAGCACACCAGACTTTCTCTGCACTGAATTATGGTTGTTAGGTACAACAAGGTTGCAAAACTGGCATGAATAAATCTCAGCAGGGTAACTTCTTGCTTGTCTCCTTACCTGAGGGAAGCATATTAAGAAGGCAGAGGAAAACAAGAAGCCATTAGCACAATTAAAAAGCCTGGGGCTGCCACATTGGTCCACAGGCTTCTTCAAAATGTGCGACAAGCAATAGAACCATCTGTTGAGGGTCCTTTATTGAGGACCCTTCCAAGACCTGGAAATGAAAGTGCTTTTCACCTGCATCAGTTCACCAAGACCTGCAACTGGCAGAATTTCAACCCCCTTATAAGGCCGTCATGAATCATTAGTGGCCCCTCATTTGCTCCCACAGCAGCTGGATTGATGAGGTTGCACTGTACTCATTTATTTAACTGGAAATGAAATATGCTTTTTCTAATAATAACAAAGGCTTTGGAAAAGAAAAGGCAGAAGAGGAACTAAGCCCAGAAGCAAATCGATCTTTATAGCACTGATAACTCTGTAGGGTTTATGCACCATTTCAATGTGCATAAGCTTTAATCATCATGATATGAGCCTTTTCATGCTTAAGTGATGCAGTGTGTGACCTGACTGCACACTGAAGAGCCAGCACTTCGAAAGCTTTCTTACCACTCTATCTTCTTGCCTGGCAACAGTTTCCCATTCTTGTTCTGATCTTTAAAATGCTACCAATTCAATGCTTTAGTTGAGAGTCCTGCATTGCAGGGAGTACGACTAGATGACCCTCAGGGTCCCTTCCAACTCTACAATTTGATGATTCTGTGATTCTAGGGTCCAAACATGGAAACCGTGGTGATACAGATGCTCGATGGTTTTTCGTTTATTTATTGGTCTAGCATTATCTTGCATTTACATTGAAAACTCCTGGGCATATAACACAGCAAACAATTTATTTCCAGTAAAGTTTTCCATGAAAGCAAAGAATAATATTGGATGGCAAAGCCCACCGTATCTTCCTCAGATCCAGCGAAGAAACATTTGATGAGAAACATTAATTACATGCATAAAGAGAGCTGAGATGCTAACAGCTAATTAGTCTCAAAGGGAAATTAAATTTAATTTCCTAAGTGGCAGTTGCTATCTGGCAATATTTTCCTTAAGCAAAATGAATTCTGATTTATCATAGTTGATACTTTGGAATTTTAAAGGAACAATCACATATGGAAGCTGGGTTAATTGAAAGAGAGAGAGAGAGAGCTTACAGTTGAGGTCAGCTGTATGTCAGCAACTTTTCCTGATCAATATACATATATTTTTGTTAACAATTAGCATCTAAAGTAAATGAATGTGATGCATTTCAAAGCTCCTGAGAAGCTGCTTTCCTTCGGCCAATGGAACATCTTTCATTTTAGACAGCTGCAGAGTGAACAGTTTGCTAGAACCCAAGAACCCGCTGAACAATTAAAACTGCTAAAGTCGGGTGATTTTATTTGCCTGGTATACTTATTCTTACCACTGAGCCAAGCTCTGTCTGTTATGTTAATCATGAAGAGCAATCTGGATGGATGAGGCGGGGGAGACAGTGCCGAAAATAATATACTCCCAAGAAAATGAGAAAATGGAATTGTGCTACTCTGTGACAAAAGAAGAGTGAGGATATGGGGAGAGCTCTGGCTGACTAAAGGAACTTCATGCACTAATAATGAAAGCATTGAGAGAAGCACTTTCAAAGCATTCAGAAATGGAAGAATGAATGTGTGGGTATACTAACCATGGACCTAGTCCCCAAAGAACCTATTATGAGCTTCATAATGCCTAACTGGAGGAGAACCTGACCTGAACAATGACTTCCTTTTGACTGAGGTTCAAATTGTGAGACTAGCAAATTCCTTGGAAGCTGCAGGTTTCAAATGAACAAACTTGTCAGGCAGATTTATGACTCATTTCCCAAATGTGGCCATGTTCACTTCCCCCCTCCCTCTCTTTCCCCTTGTACATTTTCATAATTAACACGAAGTGTGTAATGAGTGTTTGAAGAAAAGTAATCCCAGCATAGCTATAAGTCAATATAATTTTTTCCTGGTAAATCCAAGTGAAAATGTAATTAGACAAAAGGACAATGGCCCAGTTTGATCATTGCCATTGATGAAAAGAATGATAAAACATGTATAAAATGACACAGACTTTGGAAGTATCAGGAGCAATTATTATTTTTAAGAACATTCAAAGCTTTATCTCCTGAACAGTCTGATATTCTTGGTTTAAGTTTACTATATAGTCAATAAAGGCAAATCCCAGTGTCATAGGCAAAATTCTGAAAGATGAATGAGATGCTGATAATATAGAGGCTCTAATTTCTTGTTAATCATGCAAAGGAAGGGAAAAACTTAATTTAGCTTGTGTCTATTTGTCATAAAGTATCTGCTTCTCTCTTCTCTCTCTTACTTTGCGCATAGCAGTTTAGAAACTTGCACAAAGTAGGAATTATTATGGCAATGAAAAATGAAAAGTACAACCTGTGACTGTTCAATTAGAGCTTAAACATATGAAGAAGAACTACAGTGAACAGGCCACTTTAAGACATGGATATTTCCCTCATCCCTAGCAGTAATTATTCAAAATATATTACAACACAATCTGTTGTAGAATCTGCCCATTTTTCTTTGGTACTCTGGAAGTGGGGTTTGTTAATATTAAGGGTGCGCTGCCTGTTCTCCAATCTATACCCCACAAGACACATTCTCTGTTGAACTAAGTTTGTGATAATTCTGTCAAACTAAAATTGATGCCTATTTTATGGCATCAAGACGTCTGCAAGATTTCTAATATTTGTCTTTTATCTCATTTTTTTAAAAAAAGAAGAAGACAAGAAATAGAAATGTTACAAAGAAGAAGAAAATGATTTGAATGGAACAGGAGGCAGAGAAGTGCCTAACTCAAATACTCTTCATAAATTATACCAAAGGAGTTTGAAATTAAAGTGCTAACAAAACTTGGTAAGTTGTTTCCAATTTAACAAAAACTATACCTGTTTCCAGAAAAGTTCAGTGTTTGGAGAAATACTGGACAGCAATATCCAGACCCAATGCTATTCCCCTTTGGAAAACAGATCGTACAATTCCATTCAAATTATCCTTTGAGTTTTCATATTTAAAGTACTGTGGTGTTTTTGTTTGGAAATCGCTTTCTTCTCCTGCACAATTTCAGTGAGAGACAGTTGGGCAGATGAGTGTGTACAACAACCCTTTTGAACTTCCTAGACTTTAAATGGCTTTTTGACACTTGAACTATAGCAAGAAAGATTACATCTTAACTCCCTTTGGGGTGGTAATAACTGAAATAACAGAACTTGGAGTCTGACAATGTTGCTGACACTCATCTTTCTGGGCTTGGAAATAAGAATCTCAGAAGCTCATGGTACTATATGGCAAGGGTTATGATACCTTCGCTGAATTATTTTTTAACCTGAACCAGAATAGGATTCTACTCCTTCCCACCCAAATCCTCTTCTCTCAAATTCGCTTTCACCCTCTTTCTCACCCTCAGAATCTCCCTTCCCCTTTAACTGGCTCCTGATTATTGTCCAATGAAAGAAGAAGAAGAAGAAGAAGAAGAAGAAGAAGAAGAAGAAGAAGAAGAAAACAGAGTGGTCTATCCCACCTTCCAATTCCAAACCCTAGTAGTTTTTCTAAAGACTAGAAGATGTATGGAATGGACTGTCTTAATAAGATTGAACATAGAGGTCAGTTTCCCTTCCCTTCCAAATCAGGGGTGTGTGAGACTTCAAATTTATTCATATTGGTTTGTATAAAGTGGTGCTGTTTCCCCTTTCTTTGGATATGGACACAGGAATATTTTGCCTTTATCCACATTAACAGAACGCAAGCAGGGAGCTGCCTCTCACAACTTCGGTAGTCTATTTTTGTTATGTTTGCTGGTTCTTTATGACATACAGTATGTTCTGCCCTTCAACATTTGCAAGACAGGGAAGGCTCCTCTCAGCCATGCAGTTGTTCAAGACACAAAAACATTGTCTGGAACAAAATGAGCATCCCTAATTTGCATTGTTTTTTCCTGCTTTTTCAAGGTAAGTTTTCAAGATAAAAGTGTTGGGAGCATCAAATGCTAGAGAGCAATTGTAGCACTCAGAGGGTCTCAAAATGGAGAAAGGAGCAACTTTTAATGCTATCCTCCAATGTTCATTTTTGAAATGCTAAACTTAAATTCTCGGTAAACAAAATTCACACCAGCAAGTTAATTATATCTTAGCAGGGAGCAATTAAAATAAAGGCTTCAAGTGTTCCATTTCTTCATGTTGTTGTTGTTGCTGCTGTTTCATTACAGCTTACAAGTAGTCATAATCAGTCATAACATTGAAAATATACTGTAGGGGAAATGAGATGAATGTTTATTCTATACTTCCAACTATATCTTCTCTAATAAATTTAAAAAATGTCCAGTAGCACCTTAGAGACCAACTAAGTTTGTTCTGGGTATAAATTTCCATTTGTTATTATACCCAGAACAAACTTAAAGGTAAAGGTAAAGGGACCCCTGACCATTAGGTCCACTCGTGACTGACTCTGGGGTTGCTCCGCTCATCTCGCTTTATTGGCCGAGGGAGCCGGCGTACAGCTTCTGGGTCATGCGGCCAGCATGATTAAGCTGCTTCTGGCGAACCAGAGCAGCACACGGAAATGCCATTTACCTTCCTGCCAGAGCGGTACCTATTTATCTACTTGCACTTTGACGTGCTTTCGAACTGCTAGGTTGGCAGGAGCAGGGACCAAGCAATGGGAGCTCACCCCGTCACGGGGATTCGAACCGCCGACCTTCTGATCGGCAAGTCCTAGGCTCTGTGGTTTAACCCACAGCGCCACCCGCGTCCCAACAAACTTAGTTGGCCTCTAAGGTGCTGCTGGACAATTTTTTAAAATTTATTTTGACTGCGTCAGACCAACACAGCTACCTACCTGACTCTCTAATAAATATGCAGCTTACAGAACTCTCTGTACCTGACTCTCTAATAAATATGCAGCTTACAGAAGCATGTGTTTGAGCAAATAGGGAAACCTCCAGTTTTCTGCCAAAGCTAAAAACATAATCAGCTGCCTTGTACCAAGTCAGACTATTGGCCCATCCACCTCAGTACTGTCTATATTGATTGGCACCAGCTTTCCAGAATTTCAGACAAGGGTCTCTCCAGGTCCTGCCTGGAGATACCAGGGATTGAACTGGGAACGTTCTGCATGCAAAGCAGATACGTTATCACTTTAGCTATAGTCCCTCACCAAAATCCAAGGTACTTTTACTTCAAAATTATATCGTAAAAAGTCAAAGAAACTTTTCCTTGAGGTGAAACAGGGCCTGTACCAACTCAAAAATAGTAAGATTCCTGTAAATATCTTGACATATTTCTTGGCCATGACACTTCCTTAAGTATGATGTAGACTCTGCTGTTCATAATAGAAAATCACCTCCTTTCCTCAGTCAGGAAAGCAGAAAATAACTTGCCAGTTAGATGATCCATTCCTATGATACACTATTTGAACAGTAATAATCCTTTTCATGACTCATGGATCCTCATTTTCCTTTCAAATGATACGTTTTCCTGTGAAAAATCACAGGTAAACATGCTTATTCAATGCCGATCAGCCTGACAGCTTGTTCAGACAATGGAAGATTGCTTCCGAAAGTTATTGAAATCTGCCGTCGCCAAACATACCAACCTAAACAGACTTTTGAGGACCAATTTATTTCACCCCTGCTCTCTGACAGGAATTACTAAGTGGAATTTTTCATTCCAGGTGAATTTCTTTCACAAATCTAAAAAACCCCACAAAACAACTAGAGGCAGGTCAGGTTACTTAGCGGATATTGGATTATGGAGTATTTTCAAAACACTTTCCATTTTCAGAATTCAACAGCTTGACCCTGATTCCAACCTGTCCCTTGAATGCAGTTCATTTCTAAATCTATGAGTTGCATTGCTATTGCATTGGCATAGGGAATAGCTATATATTGTTTTCAAAATAAGTAGTTTTTGTTGGTATCTGTTGATATCTGTAACATCACTGGAAGGTCACATGCACACACACACACAGAGGGAGAGGGGGAGAGAGAGAGAGAGAGAGAGAGAGAAATCCAAGCCCTGCCCAGAAAGCAACACCGTGGTCGATTCATCAACTCATCTTAAGCTCTCCCAGCTAGCACCAGCCACTAGTGTGTTACAACTGAAGGATGAAGGATCAGGTCCCACAGGAGATCTGAGTAATCCCCAAGTACTGGTGCCCAACACCCCATTGTGTGGCTTTTCAATAGCTAACTGCCAGTGGGATAACCCACAACAGAGGTTGAGCCCTTCTCAGCGGTAGAAGCTGACACAGCCCGGCAGATCTCCAGCCTTATCCTCCAGAAGCACAAGGTATCTGTTTAGGATTGCACTGGGATGGGATTAAGGCTGCAGTTCCATGTGCACCTTCCTAGGAGTGATCCCCGCTGATCACAGTGGAACTTACTTTTGTGTGATGATGCATGAGAATTTACTGTTAAGTGCCTAGAATGTTGCAAGTAGCAAATCAGGCCTTGAGTCCAAAGACTGACACAATACATGTTAAAACCTACCTGTGATCAGAGAAGTGTGATAGATGTGTCCCCATTTTTCCAAATGTGGTTCAAGTTGTAAAAAAGTCCAATAGGAGGATTCATGGTTCCATGCTTCTGCAGAATAAACATGCTACAAGAAACCTCTATTTGTTCAACTCCTTACTCCAGAATCATGCAACCCCATTGCAATGGAAGCATAAAGTCAGATACTAATGGTTTGCCAGTTGAGAGTCAGAATATGTCTCTGTTATGAGCCTAGTAACACAGGTCATATCTTGGCTGACATAGTAGACAGGCCAGTTGTGGTGGAAGTATGAGGGATGAAAACTTCACAGGAAGTGTTTCCATTGCTCACTTCTACCACTGGGATGCTAAAATGTGCCCGTCTATTCTTATGATGACTATGTTTGCTTGGGAACACAACTTAGTGGGAAAAGCACCCTATTCCCTCTACTGCATGGAAAAGAAATCTCCTACACTCAGAGATCTGGAAAGGCCTGTTAATTAAAGTCAAGAAAGGATAGCCTCCCCAAATTCTCCACACTACTTGTGCCTGGCAAAAAAGAAAGAAAAAAGAAGGCATTTTGCTGAATGTTCTGGAGACAAGGGGAAATTCTCCAGTTTTTCTATTTTAAAAAAAACACTTCTGAGAAATGTTGGTTCCCTTTAATGGTTAATGAAACTCTGTTGTTAGTTCATATTAGCAACTGATGGAAGCAATCGGCTAAGAGAGAAGTAGGAGCCAAGCCCATTATTTTCTTCAACAATGTTAAAACTATATTAAATTATATTCAAATTATATTCACCATTCTGCCCAAAATGCATGGATGGGAAACTTGGGGAAACATTTTTTTCTGAATATGCTGTAGAGGGCTGAATTTTTCAAATTGTTCTGAAGAATCTCAAAAATCAATCAAAATGTGTCAAAAATTATATATGTGTATGTGTGTGTGTGTATACACACACACACACACACACCTACTTTAACAATGCTATCCCTTACCAATTATTGCTTAAGTGATGGCATTGGAAATGGAGCCTGTCATATATTGACAGTCACTTCATAGGAATAAATAATAATGTGAAACATCTATTTCACAGACAATGTGAATTTGACATAAAATCATTGCTCATCATGAAAATGGATGCATATTTCCGCACTGTAAACACATTAAGTCCATACATCATTAAATATTTCAAGCCAGCAGTTAACTTTAAGCAAATGCCAATGTTCAACATATACTGAGAGGCCCAGTATTATTATTATTTTTAATAATAGAGCAACACAAAGGGCAAAATCCTTAGGGAGAATTATGATAAAGATTTGTGTTCATTTTAATTTGCTTTTCTTACAAAATGGCATCTGATATTATCTGAAGGAAATGACCTGAATAAGACTAGACACTGCTGAAATTTGCTTTAAAAATACGGAAAGCAGAGAAAACACATTAAACTCAAATATTGTGGATTCTTATCAAAAATGTATGTCGAATTATTCTAATTCTGCCATGATTTTGGCTAATCTGCTGCACGTTCCCCATAGACCCTGACATCTAGTGTTTGTCACATTTACATCACACTAAAATATTCACACAGTTAGGTCCTGTTGCACCAAAACAATGGTATTTTCAAAATCTGCCCGAGGACTGTGTTAGTTTGTTACAGCTAAAACAACAAAGAATCTCTTAGTGCCTTAAACACTAACACATTTATTATGGCATAAACTTTCATGGACTAGAAGCTGAATTTAGTCCTTGAATGCTTATGTCATAATAGACAGTTTTCCTGTTTTCATAACAGTGTAATTAGTTTGGAAGGAGGGAAGACTGGCGGGGGTGGTTGGCTCAATGTATGCATTATAGGATGAGCCCAAACAAGTGACAGGTTACTGCTATCACTAGATATACCGGTAATGCATGGCTAAAACATCCAACAATACTGAAAATTAATAATAAAATACATTCCACATTCAGTCATCAAATATATTCTACAAACTTAGTGAATTTATCAATGACCCACTTTCAACTAAAACAAAATCTTAGCATAATTTGTCAACATATGCTAAGCTTCTAGACATAAGCTTGTTCTATTTGCCCGTAGCCATTTGAAACTAATACGTTCATCATTTTGCCACCCACCCTCCTTTTCTTTGGGGCCACTTAGCTCTGAAAAACATGCCTACCAGTTATTTATGTTTGGGTCAATATGGTCCCAATTTCTGGTCAATTTGTGACACACTCCATATTGGAGGAAATCACTAGGAAAAGCACCCCATGATTCCTCTATTTGGGTGACACCATGCTGGTTCCAGGCACTGCATCAATAACTGATCAAAACTGAACTGAATTGTGTCAACACGTCTGGACATTGGAGCAGTGTGACTTCACCAAAAGAATTATGAGCTCTAAGGCCAATTATGAGCCCACCCAAAAATCCCTACTTGGCCTCCAGTAGGAGACTGGCTGAACCCACTGACAAAGGGATGAGAATGTGGAAGACCATGTCAAATGAAGAGGGTAATCCATGGGTACTATTATCACCCATCCCAGCTAATTGAACAGTAGTTGCCTCCTGCCAGTAGCAACAACCATTAGCTTTGCAGTAGCACCTAATTCCAAATGTTAGGACATGCTCAAAGAGTGTTGTTGTATCTGGGTGCAGATGCCATCACTTCTAGGCTGTGGATTGTGCAAGTACTGTTTTTGGAGGAGAGGGAGTGGGCAGGTGTGGCGGACTCCCTGGTCCTGAATGGGGTAGCTGTGCCCCTGAAGGACCAGGTGTGCAGCCTGGGAGTCATTTTGGACTCACAGCTGTCCATGGAGGCACAGGTCAGTTCTGTGTCCAGGGCAGCTGTCTACCAGCTCCACCTGGTAGGTAGGCTGAGAACCTACCTGCCTGCAGACTGTCTCGCTAGAGTGGTTCATGCTCCGGTTATCTCTCGCTTGGACTACTGCAATGCACTCTGCCTGTGGCTACCTTTGAAGGTGATTCGGAAACTACAACTAATTCAGAATGCAGCAGCTAGACTGGTGACTGGGAGTGGCCACCAAGACCACATAACACCAGTCTTGAAAGAACTACATTGGCTCCCAGTATGTTTCTGGGCACAATTCAAAGTGTTGGTGTTGACCTTTAAAGCCCTAAAGGGCCTTGGCCCAGTATACCTCAAGGAGATTCTGCACCCCCATCATTCAGCCCGGACACTGAGGTCTAGCGCCAAGGATCTTCTGCCGGTTCCCTCGCTGCGAGAAGTGAGGTTACAGGGAACCAGACAGAGGGCCTTCTCAGTAGTAGCACCCGCCCTGTGAAATGCCCTCACATCAGATGTCAAGGAAATAAAAACTACCTGACTTTTAGAAGACATCTGAAGGCAGCCCTGTTTAGGGAAGTTTTTAATGTCTGATGTTTTATTGTATTTTTAATCTTTTGTTTGAAGCCGCCCAGAGTGGCTGGGGAAACCCAGCCGTATGTATGTATGTATGAATAAATAAATAAATAAATAAATAAATAAATAAATAAATAAATAATCAGTCAGGCAGCAGCCCTTCTCACAGTTAGCATGAACAAAAATATATATGCACTAATGAGCATTTGCATTACATAACATTATTGCGAACAATTTTTCATTGTTCACACTATGCACAAATTAGGCAAGATATATCAGCTGGTAGATTTACCATGGAAATCCTTTCCTTAAGGCTGGGAAAGTAAAGCTGGCAATAAATAACAAGATTGCAAATTGTGTTTTATATGAATATCTATTTTAGTGGAAATACATTTTTTTTAAATGCAGACTATGGTGCACCTTTAGCAGCACAACTGGATGCCTTCACCCGCCCCATCTACAAAAACAAAAACACATGCCTCCCCCCAGCCACAGCTGCCACTGTAACTCTCAAATGGTTTGACTTTACCCCAAAGGCACACTCTTTCATTATCTCCCAAGACAAACAGATGCCAACCATTTCTTCTAGATACCTGTTTTGGCATTAAAAAATAATTCTGAAGTTACAAATTACTTGTTCTCACAACATGGAAATTAGAAATCTTGCTCCTTTAAACCAGGTAACCTGAGAATTGACTATGAAAGTTCATTTTGAATTGGTGCTGTAGTTGTTTATTGCCTAAAACAATGATTTTATAGCTCAGAAGTACCCTGATCCAAGACATAAGCAGTAAAAGATGCAGGAAGAACAAAATAAATCAATCACAATCAGATCTATAGTTTTTGTTTCCTCAAATGTCTGTACCATCTCATTTCTGAGATCAAAACCATTGTCATTGGAGAAAGTAACCAGAGAGAGAAGTGGGAAAGTGACATTTAAAAATAGAACATATCAATGACAATTGAGTAAAATTGCTGGTTTTCTTTCAGATTCCTAGGGACTTCAGCTCATTTTACCACTGAGAAAGAATGCAGAAATTAGAATTTTTTGACAGAAAATATATTTCCCTAGAAATCAAGTTGCAATGGAAAATAAATTGGATCAGCATCATTGTTTATGCTGAATCTTACCAAGAAAGACACATACTGATAATATAGTGTATCTATGTTTGCACTCCAGAACGATTATAATAACTCCACTGGTCAAAGTTCACTACACGAAAACAAGCAAGTTTGTTCAACTAAAGCACTGCTTTCAGGGCATTTTGCTTGCCCAGGCAGGCACATTACATGACCCACGAGAGCAGCAAAATAACCAGACTGTTCAACAGTGATGGGATAAAATCAGGCCAAATCTTTATTGACAGCAGCAGGCAGGGCAAGGGTTGGCATGGCATTGGGTCCCAGGATCAGTTCATCATTCCACAAGCCCCATGTTGATGGAATGGATCCACTGGGTTTGGATCGCTCCAAACCTGTATGCCGGGAGTCGGCCAGTGTTGAACCTTGCCGTGGTGCAAGTCAAGCAAGCAAGGTCTTGAAAGATGGGAAGGGGGGGGGAATCCTTTCCGGCCCTGTCAACCAGAGACCCAAAATTGCTCAGTGAAGGCTCTAATCCAAGGGTGAGTGGGCAGGTTACCCTCGCAAACAAAGCTCTCAAACAAAATGTCTGTGAGTTCCAGGGGAAGCAGCCTTATATAGGCCTTCCCCTCCCCTCTTCAGCTAGGGCTCATGAGACAGCTTTTTCCCACAAGCTGATCACACATCGAGAATACTGGGCAAAACTTTGCCCGATATTTTGCTGTAATCTATGGGCAACAGCAGAGGGACATGGGTGGCGCTGTGGGTTAAACCACAGAGCCTAGGACTTGCCGATCAGAAGGTCAGCGGTTCGAATCCCCGCGACAGGGTGAGCTCCCGTTGCTCGGTCCCTGCTCTTGCCAACCTAGCAGTTCGAAAGCACCTCAAAGTGCAAGTAGATTAATAGGTACGGCTCCGACGGGAAGGTAAATGGCGTTTCCGTGACCCGGAAACTGTACGGCGGCTCCCTCGGCCAATGAAGCAAGATGAGCGCCGCAACCCCAGAGTCGGCCACAACTGGACCTAATGGTCAGGGGTCCCTTTACCTTTATCTTTATGGACATCAGCACCGCCAGGAAAAGGCGCCCCATGC